GAGCGAGCCAAGCCTCAGCATATATGCGTGACAGCTAGCTAACTTGAAGGACCCTTCAGGTCGCCTTACGCGACGAAGCCTGAGACTTCAAGAATACGAGATTATTGTAATTTACAAGTCCGTCAAAAAACACTCCGACACCGATGGCCGGTCGCAAGCCTTCATCGAGGAAGACCTGAATGGTGACTGCTTCTTGGGAGCGATAACTGCCGATGACTTAGCTGAACGCCAGCGGGCTGGCGCGGAACTTAGTGGCCTAATCGAATACCTTGAGGACAGGATCTCAGTTGTTTCGAAGGCATTCAAACGGGCACTTACGTTGTTTTCACTGCGAAACGGCTTTCTGCAATCGAACTTCTCACCGCTTCAAGCCAAGTACCTTCTTGTGGCGCCTTCACCTCTGCGACCAGAACTGCCTAAGGCCCTGCACGATGATCTAACGGCAGAACGCCTTGTTCTTTCGCGCACGCTTGCGAGGATACACGAAAGATACTACTGGCCGCGCCTTACCGCCGACGTCGCTCCTTACGCGAGGACATGCTGAGACTCTCAGTGACGGGAAACACCACTGAAGAGACCATTAAGCTTTCTTCAGCCGATGGAACCACCTCGCCGACCGTTGGAAAAAACCAAAATGGACTTACTGGGGCCGTTTCCGACGGCAAAATCGGAACCCAATTCGATCGTCGTAGTTACTGGCTACCTCACCGAATGCGCCGAAACAAAGGCCCTACACAAATGTAGCATTGAAGAAGTAGCCAAGTTCTTTGTTGAGAATATCGTCCTTCGTCATGGCACCCCAGAGGTTGTCATCACCGATATGGATGCGGCCTTTATTGTCGATTTGACTCAGGTGATTTTGAGACATAGCCAGACAAGAGGTCGCCTCACTACCGCCTGCCACCCACGGACAAATGGTCTCTCCGAGCGGCTAAACAAGACAATTGCATAGATGCTAGCCATGTACGTCGACGTCGAACACAAGACGTGGGACGCATCCTTCCGTACGTGACCTTCGCATACAACACGACCGTGCAGGGGACGACGCAGATGCAGCCGTACAAGCAGGTCTACGGAAGATACCCGGCAACGACGCTCGACGAAATGCTGCCCAACATCACTGACGAAGAAACGAAATGCTGCCCAACGTCACTGACGAAAAAAACCTCGTCGTCACCCTCTATCTTCAGCGAGCAGATGAAGCTCGTGAACTAGCCCACCTGCGCATCACGAACCAGCAGACGGCCGACTAAGTGGTTCTAATAGAGAAAGGAAGAGAAAAGTGAGCCCCGTAACTGTATGCTTCAGAGAGCGACACCTCAACAGTAGCTCAAAAGGGATGGAGATGACGAGGGATTAAAAGAATAGAAATAAAGATATATATAGAGAGAAAGATGCGCTAGGCCAGTGAGCGAGGACAAATCGAGGGGATAGGAGAGATAGGAAAGATGGAAACATGGTCACGGGAGCCCGAGGACGGGGCACCGCTTGCGAGAGCTTTTGTCGGCGTCAGGAGATGGCGTAGGACAAGTCCGGTAGGTCAGAGCTGCACTGTCGTTGAAGGTCGGCGTCAAGAGATAACGTAGGGCCAGCCAAGTCGACCAGAGCTGCTCTGATGTCGGAGATCGCGAGGGCACAGCCGCTCGGCACGGAATCCAGCAAGCGAAAAATTGTAACAGCGGTGGTCGGTCGTCTGCGACGACCGACCACCGCCGTTGCTATTTTCGGTAACACTTCGTAATATACCAACCCCGTGAACGTGTTAAGATATGGACGCTGATACGCCGATGTGCACTCAGTGAAAAACTTCTGCGATGGTACTCACGACAATAGAGGATCGTACGCCGTCTAGGTCCAATTGACTACGGAGTTCTCCCCGACGGCAATACGAACTGTCAACAGCGCCCATTGCAACCTGAAGTCGCCAATGTGCGCGCCTTAAGACATTTCGTAAAGGTTAACGAACTGAAAACGTGTATTTGAATGTTTCGTTTATTGCTGTATCGTATATTATTATTGTACTTTCATTTTCTGTTAGAACATCGGGACGTCTTTTTTTAAAAAAGGAGAAATGCTCCTATCCTTCCTCAAGTTTTCATCATCATCATCATCATCATCATCATCATCATCATCATCATCATCATCATCATCATCATCATCATCAGTCTGACTTCGTCCACAGCAGGACGAAGGCCTCTCCCATGTTCCGCCAGTTAACCCAGTCCTGTGCTTTCTGCTGCCAATTTATACCCGCAAACTTCTTAATCGCATCTGCCCACCTAACCTTCTGTCTCCCTCTAGCCCGCTTGCCTTCTCTGGAAATCCAGTTAGTTACCCTTAATGACCACCGGTTATCCTGTCTACGCGCTACATGCCCGGCCCATGTCCCTTTCCTCTTGATTTCAGCTATGATATCATTAACCCCAGTTTGTTCCCTAATCCACTCTGCTCTCTTCTTGTCTATTAAGGTTACACCTACCATTTTTCTTTCCGTTGCTCGCTGCGTCGTCCTCAACTTAAGCTGAACCCTCTTTGTAAGTCTCCAGGTTTCTGCTCCGTAGCTAAGTACCGGCAAGATACAGCTGTTATATACCTTCCTCATGAGGGATAGTAGCTATCTACCTGTCAGGATTTGAGAGTGCTTGCCAAATGTGCTCTACCGCATTCTTATTCTTCTAGTTACTTCAATCTCGTGGTTTGGCTCCGCGGTTATTACCTGCCCTAAGTAGACATAATCCTTTACAATTTGAAGTGCACTATTACCTATCTCGAAGCGCTGCTTTTTTACGGGGTAGTTGTACATTACTTTCGTTTTCTGCAGAATGATTTTAAGACCAGCCTTTCTGCTCTCTTTGTCTAACTCCGTAATCATGAGTTGCAATTCGTCCCCTCAGTTACTCAGCAATGCAATGTCATCGGCAAAGCGCAGGTTACTAAGGTACTCTTTATTAACTCCTATTCCTAACTGTTCCCATTGTAGGCTTTGAAAAGTAAGCACGTGGTAAATAGCATCAGGGAGATTGTGGCCCCCTGCCTTACACCCTTCTTGATTGGTACTCTGTTGCTTTCTTTATAAAACACTGTGGTAGCAGTTGATCCCCTGTAGATTTATTCAAAGGTGTTTACATATGCTTCATCGTCGCCCTGATTCCGCAGTGTCTGCATGACGGCTGATGATTCTACTTAATCAAACGCCTTCTCGTAATCTATGAAGGCTATGTATAGTGGTTGATTATATTCCGAGCGTTTCTATATTACCTGATTGATAGTATGAATGTGGTCGATTGTTGAGTAGCCTGCTCGAAATCCTGCTTGTTCCTTGGTTGATTGAATTCTAATGTTTTCTTCACTCTGTTAGCAATCACCTTTGTAAATAGCTTGTATACTACTAAGAGCAAGCTGATCAGCCCATAATTCTTCAAGTCCTTGTCATCTCCTTTCTAATGTATTAAGATGATGTTAGCGTTCTTCCAAGACTCTGGTACTCTTCCTGTCAGGAGACATCTCGTAAACAGGGTGCCTAGTTTTTCTAACACAATCTGTCCTCCATCTTTCAGTAGATCTGTTGTTACCTGATCCTCAGCAGCAGTTTTGCCTCTTTGCATGGTCTCCAAAGCTTTTCTGACTTCTTCTATTATTATTGGTGGGGTGTCATCTGAGTTACTGCTAGTTTTTATAGTATTAAAGTCGTGGTTATCCCACGACTTTAATACTATAAGTTTACTACTATATATACTTTATTATAATTAGTTTATATAGTTTTATACTATAGATAAGTTTCCTTACCACCCCTTTTAAACGCGATCCTCAGCGCAAACCGCACCTACTGTGTTCGGGAAGCTTCAGTACTGCCGTACTAGATAATTTTGTGGAGATTACGCCCCGTTCGTGAGCATTCCAGATTGTTCTGGAAACTACGTTGCTGCTAGCGGTAACGCTAGAATGTTCGATGGCAGATGTATAAATGCCTACACACTTCGCCGCTCATCAGTAGATCGACGACTGACGCTCAGTTCACCGATATCAATGTGAGTGCCTTACTGCATTCTTAGTTTTCTTTTACGTGGCCACAAGTTCGGCTGTATAAACAGTTTAATCTTTGACCTACTGTCTGCTCCCTTCGTCGTTGTCACGACCCCATGACAATACCGTTGTCTAACTGAACGAGACGAGAGGCAAAGTTGCACAATTTCTGCGGGTAATTTTAATATTCAGATGCCCATTACTGTTTTTGCATGTATTGTTCAATTGTGTAAGTGACAGTATTCCTGTATATGCTAAAATGTGTACTGTAACATTCACGAGTGTCAATCAATAATGTGGGCTTATTTTCTTAGCGTGTTTTTGGGCAGTTGAGGCCTCTCAATCACCTGTCGACATAGTCGAAACATTGATTGTAACGTTAGGCTGCCGTGCGTGCCAATATCACCCGCAACAAGAGCGAATAAACACCAATAAACCGGTGGGCGCGCACCGCGACCACCCGGACCCGCCACAAAATCAGCCGTGATATTGCCTCAGCGCATTGATGATAATACTAATAGCAGTGCCATCTCTAGGTCGGGTAAGTTAGTTCACAACGTGACCACTAACCTTATTTATGTTGCACAGTCAAATGTACGGTTTTTTTTCTCCAAATTGTAGTACATACGTGTTCTGTGAGCGGACCCGGAGCTGTGGGTTATGTATATAAAATGTATGTAGTTCATCAAAATGTATAAGGTGCATCCAATAGTAATTAATAAACATTGTGTATGTAACGTACATATAACAACGTTGTAAACTTATATATGACCTTATCAGATGTGTACAAAGTATTCGTGCGTTACTCGATCATATCCGAGCAAGCTCCTATAACATCATTCACTTTTTGGATATGGCAGTTACTTTTTATGCCTCCTCTGGCTTTAGAATAGCCAAATGGTGAACAATACCCATACCAGGAAGTCCTGTAAATAGGTGCGTCATTGTGCATTTTAATTAGGCGAAAGTGAACCCACCATCTAATGACAGAGCCAGAGACATGGTGACGATGGTGATGTAAGCGAAGCAGATTGAATCCAGCGTTATGCCAAACCATCTAGCCGTGCAGAGGAACATGTACCAAGCTGCCGTGTGGTGGTCTTGTTTCAGGTCAAACATGCGTTCGAAGGTACGCTGCGCATTGAATGCCCGGATTGTGCTGAGGCCGTACAAGGAGGTGCTAAGGTGGGAGAACACTGGGCTTCGTGCTAGAGAAGAGAGAAAAGAAATATATTAAAATTTAGTATTTACCCACTGGAATGTGCACTTCAACAAAAGCACTGGCACAGCATTCAGCGCGATAGCACAGTAAAAAGGTGGAATGGCTGGAATAGTATATTTAGTAAGGCTCTAAAGGCAATTTGATAGGGCCCAAAACAACTAAATTATGAATAATGAACTCGCAATGCGTACAGTTAGCGAAACCAAATGGAAACAGAGGAGGAAAGTGTGAGAAGTCAAAAGCTGAAAACGCTTGAGCTTCACTTCAAGACTGGAACGTCATAGAACGTCACAATTGGTAGCCTTGTTTTGATTATCGGTGAATACCTCAACCACGTCGCAAGAAAAAAAGTCTGTGCGAGCAACAGAGGCTGTTAAAAACTATACCAAAAGGCTTACTGCACATACAAATGTTTGTTTTGTTTTATCTTCTAAAAGAAACTAGCTTGTACTCCCACTAACCTGCACGCGCCATAATCCTCAGTCTGGGGAGGACCCGGGCCCTGAGGTCATTCAAATTTACCCACCCAAAACCAGCCTGGTGACTCGGAAGCGGTACACGGGCTAGGCCCGAGCCCGAGACCCGAGCCCGAGACCCGAGCCCGAGAAAACATTTGTGTTGAATTACAATGGCATTTCGTGAGCACTGGGCTAGATTGCGAATGGAGTGCGCAGATTCGAGCGGGATGGCTCTCGCTAAATCTGTAATTGGAACGAGTGCGTGTCAACGGAAGCTTTTGGTAAGCGGAAACCTAGGGAGGGAGCACGAGAGGGTGCGAGAGAGTGCAAAGCGTTTTCTGGGCATCCATCGGTAATTGGATGAAAGACGGGCGCACAGAATACGTCACTTGAACTTCCGTTCAATTCTGCCGATTTTGGCGGAGCAAGAGTTCTTGCTCCACGGAGTAATCTCTGATCTGCGGTTGCTCTCAATCTGCCATTGGAACACACAATTCACGCTCCCAATCTGCCACTGGAATGTGATTGCTCCCATCAGAGCAGAAAAACTTGGTCTGGATCTGCCATTTGAATTCAAAATTACCTACCAAGCCCGACCTGGCCAGGCCATCCTTAGGGCCTGATAGGGTCCCGAACACGTTGGTGTTCTTGCTCGAACATACAATCAACAACATATGGAGCTTTAAGCGGCAATTATCTATGCCTTGGTGGCGCATGTTTGAGACACAATCATGCTTCAACCTACGCCAATACCTAGTAAAAAAGGATCTCAAGGGAAGCAGTTCAGTGGATGTACTGAGCACAATCAATGTTTTTTCGGCAGCGGCGTATTGCTACTTTTTTCCGCAAATTTGATGAGGACCATCAAGGGACACTTTGTCGAATATACTCAAACCAGGAAAGTGATTTGCAATTTCAGTTTTGATGGGAGCGCAATAAAACGACAGGGCAGAAAAACAGAGTTATCCCTTCACTTTGTTTTGATTGCGCTGTGAATGGATGGATGGATGGATGGATGGATGGATGGATGGATGGATGGATGGATGGATGGATGGATGGATGGATGGATGGATGGATGGATGGATGGATGGATGGATGGATGGAGGGATGGATGGAGGGATGGATGGAGGGATGGATGGATGGATGGATGGATGGATGGATGGATGGATGGATGGATGGATGGATGGATGGATGGATGGATGGATGGATGGATATGGCTGTACCCTTTAGATCGGGTGGTGGCTAGCGCCACCAAGCCGTAATACCTAATTAACCAAAAACTAGATTTATTTTTTCCCTTAAATAGTGAGGTTGAGGATTCGTACTTTGCAGTGAAGTGTTTAATTTTCACTCGTGCCTTGACTTTAGCCACCAATCAGATAACCTCCTTCTAGTTAATTCTACCCGAATTAAAGTCTATTTTGCCCTCCCTGTCCCTAAACCCCAGTGCTTGAAAAACTCTGCGCCATCATCCTGAACTAATGGGTGAAGCCCTTTACAGAACATTATCAAGTGTTCGGCAGTTTCCTCTCCTCTCCACACGCTTTGCATGCTGTGTCTACCCCTTCGTATTTGGCCTGATATGTCTTGGTTCGCAATACTCCCGTCCTGGCCTTAAACAGTAGGGAACTACCCCGAGTATTATCATAGATCTTTTCCTTGGCAATTTCCTGCTTTAAAGTTCAATACATCTCTAATGTAGACTTCCTAATTATGCCGGTTTTCCACATATCGGTCTCAGCTTCCTTCACCTTCTTCTTAACTGATAATTCTTTTTGGTTTGGCCCCCTGCTGTTTTCTAAGCATTTACTAGTCAATTTCTTCGTTCGCTTTCTCCATTTTGTATCGACATTCTTCATGTACAAGTAGCTGAATACCTTCCTAGCCCAACGCTCATCTCTCATTTCTCTCAATTGCTTCTCAAATATTATCTTGCTGCTAGCTTCTCTGCTCTCAAATGTCCTCTTGTACTTCCTGATTTTGTGTATTCTCGTAAGCTCCTAAGGCAAGCCCACCTTTTCCACGTTGCTTAATTTCTAATCTTGGTTGAACTTCTGATCTCATGCACAAGACCGCATTGCCGAACGTCTGGCCAGGAACCATGACCCCTTACCATAATCCTCTCACAACATCATAGCTATTGTAATTCCACAAGGCCCTGTTTTTCATCACCGCTGCCTTCTTGTTAACTTTAGTCGTCACGTATATTTCGTGTTCCCTTAGGTACTCGGTCCCATTGCTTATCCATACGCCCAGATATTTGTATTTATCTGTTATCTCAAGCATGACCTCCTGTATTCTAAGCTCACTACATTCATTATCATCAAAAATCATGACTTCTAATTTTTTTCTTACAGAATCTGAAATCGAACTTATCTCCCTCATTACCGCAGATGTCCATCAATCTCTGCAATTCTCCCTTGTTGTCGGCCATTAACACTATATCATCTGCATACTTCAATGCCGGTAGTGCCTGTTCAATGAGTTTTCCCTGTTTGACGAAAGAGAGGTTTAATCCCAGTCCACTTCCCTCTATTGGCCTCTAATTCATGTAGGTAGATCATGAATAACAAGGGTGACAGAGGACACCCCTGCCTAAGCCCCCGTTGTTTCTATGTAGGCTTGGGTACCCGTTTTTCCCACTTTATAACTGCCTTGTTACCTTTACAGATATCCTTTAAAAGATTAGTGACTCTATCTTTCACACCTAGTGTGTCCAGTATTCCCCACAAGTCTTCTTGAACCTCGCAATCGTTCGCTCCCTTCATATCCAAAAATTCTAGCCACAGGGGCCTGTGTTCCTATTCTGCAATTTCGATGCACTGCGTCAGTGAGAACAGATTGTCTTCTAACCTGCTGTGTTACCGAAACCCATTCTGCAGTCCCCCAGCACACCCTCATCCTCTATCCATGCCTGCAGTCTTTCCTTTATGATCTGCATCGCCAGCCTGTAGACCACTGATGTCACTGTTATAGGACGGTAGTTGTTTATGTCAGCTTTGTCCCCCTTTCTTTTATAGATCATGCTCCTCCTGCTAAGTTTCCATCCATCGGGAACTTTTCCATTGATTATTATTTCGCTCACTGCCTCTCTCAAAGCCTGCTTAGACTTCGCACCTAATGTCTTTATCAGAATAATTGGAATACCATCTGGGCCTGTTGATGTACTACTAGGAACCCTTTTCTCAGCCTTTTCCCACTCTTGTTGTGAAAATGGAGCCATTGCGCCACTTGATTCATCCTTGTCTATTGTGGTGCATAAAGCACTTCTTTGTTGAAATTTTTCTGTCACCATTGTTCTTATATATTCAATGGCTTCGTCCCCTTCTAGCCTAGCACCTTGAGCTGTAGTTATAAACCTCTGCTCTAGGCTCGTCTCATTTCTTAGGGAGATTAGATGGTCCCAAAATTTCGCAGCTGCCTTTCTATCTTTTTTATGTACTTCTGCCAGCCACTGAGCTCCCTTTCTTCTAATCTTTTCATTGATCAGAAGGGATGCATGTTTTGTACAGCTAAAATAGATTTCCCAATTTCTTTCAACATCGTATGTCGGTTCACCCCGCTGCTTAGCATGTCTGTGTTCCCTAGAGTCTTCGTGACGTTTTGCTATGGCTCTCTTAACTTCCTCATCCCACAAACTTTTGGGTTTAGGTCTTCTTTTCCGGGGTGACTTGTCACGTGCCTTAGCTAGCTCTAGCTCAAACAGTATAATTAAATTTGTGTATGTCCACACTGTTTTATTATTCTCAGTGATTACTTTCTCAATTTCCTTAGTGGCTATTTCAATTTCCATTTCTGAATAAAAATTTTACTGTAGTTGCTCATCTTGTCTTCTTCCCAGTTTCACTGCTCTTCCAAAACTTAGCTCGATACGTTTGTTATCACTACCCAGACGTCTGGAGCCACCTTAATCTATGTGCATTCCGCTGAGCTTATCATACATCCTATGTGACAGTGCGTAATCTATCGTCGACTGCAGCCTTCCTACCTCTCTTGTTAATACCCTTCATACTTCTTGGTACTGTTGCAAATGATCAAATCAAGCCTTTCACACATCGCCATGATCATTTTTCCTGTTGGGTTGGTACACCCATACATATCTTCTATGTGCGCATTCATATCTCATAGTATAATTATCTCGCACTCTCCTCCTAACTCGTGAATTTCCTTTGATATAAACTCTACCATTGCATGGTTTTCCTATCTGGCCTTTGCTCCCGTTCACAAGTACACGAAATAAGGAGTGTCATTTTCGCTGCCACTTTCCCTTTTACCCATAACTGTTCCTTGCACTCCAGCTTGACCTTTTGCCAGTCTGTACTTTTACGAATAAATGCCCCATTACTACCCCCCCCCCCTTTCTGCTGCCTTCTGTTCTATTACAATATTCCCACGCGTAGTCCGCATTGTCAGGAGGTTGTTCCATGTCCGTAAGATGTGTTTCTACAAAACCGTATACCATCGTCCTCTCCTCCCTTAGCTGCTCTTTTATCCCCTCCCACTTCAGCCTGTTTCTGCCACCCTGCAT